AGACCAAGAGAGCACCTATAGAAACGGCAAGCTCTGTGCTCATCGGTTGATCTCCAGGCAGGCTGCGTGTGAGCATAAATATGCCTAAGTGGTTCATCCAAATAGTCCAAGGATCTTCATCACCTTCCTAGGCCAAGCTTTAGCTTCCAATACTTGTGGACAAGTCTGCAATCCGACTGAACCCACTTCACTTAAAACCATGCATTTGCACAAGTGCTAAGTATAATTTCATAGTAACTTGCACTTATTGGAAATAAATTGTCTTTTATTTGAAGCTTTTGAATTGTGTTTGCTGGGCTAGTAGTTATACAAATCTATCTTTTAGCTTATAAAATGATCAAATTTGATCTGTAAGCTACTGAGAGGGAATTACCTTGGCAACAGTGCTTTTTTGAGAGTCACTTTTCTCATTAAAAACACACTTTAAGAGGCAATAATATAAGAAAAAACAGGACAGTTAACTACTCATGGTTAAATTTTCCTAGAAAGTCTTTTAATGCCTGGTAACAGACAATAAACTGCACAGAAGAAATAGAAACATTTACGAAGATGCATCTAGTCCAACTGAAAATGATAGATTTATATTACCTAATTATTCATCTGAACATGATTCTTAGTTGCCTATTCAAAGGATTATAAGACTTTAAGAAAATGTGGGAAGAGGTTTGCAAGTGTAGAAGATAACATGAGAAAGAAGAGAGCTCCCTTTTTCTTACTATTTTGTATGTTCTCTTATTTTGTTTATCTCTTAAGAGCTGTATAGTTGGTGTTTGAGAATGTCTCTTAAAAGCTGTATAGACACCTGTTTTCAAGGAAAAGAAATTAAAGCCAGCTGAAAACTTCCTGAAATGCTACCAAATCCAGAATTTCCTGTGTGTTAAACCTTAAGCTTTTTTTCCAACCAACCCCCTCGAATTCCTTGTTGGTGTTTGGATCTCTGTAGCTCCTGGTCCTCCTAAGAATGAGAAGTCTATCTTTTATCTGTTTGGCGTGTGAAAACGCATTTTTCTCCTCTCAATAATTTTTAATGCATGTTGGTGAATATTTATTCACGCTGCTTTGGCAGCATTTCGTTATTTAAGACATAAATCAAATTTGGAACTTCTTTTTTCCTGGGGCACAAAGTATTTGAATTTGAATGTGCTTGTGAATCAGTCATAGGGGTAGTAAGACTGCTGTGTAATAGCAATTATTTGCATTGTTTTACATTGGTTTGCTCTATAGCATTAAGGTAGTCAGGCTGCGCACGGATGCAGAGTACATCTGCAGGTCACTGCAGGGTCAGAACCATGGACCTCAGTCCTCCAGTTACGTGTATATCAGTACACATTCCACTAACATCAGAACTCTTCCAGCAGGTAAAGTTAAACAGTGCATGACTGGTTTGTGGGGTCTGGGCCCAAGATTATTCCCAAGGCACAACCCATTGAAGGATCAGAACTACAAGGCTTGTTCACAAAGAAATGCTTAAGAGGAGATAACTAAATAATTTGGGGAACTGGCCACTAGTTCATACTATCTCCCCATTTGCCTCTATGGCTCTTATTTAACGTTTTAATGTTTATGACGATTCTGTATGGGTATAGCGGGTTACAGCTTCATGCCCTTTGAAATGGACACTGCATTCCTTGTGTCCAGAAGTCTCATCCTGCACTAGCAGCTTTGGGAGTGGAAAGAGAAGAGGTTTATTCCTTTAGTAATATCTGCCGAAGATATTTAAGGACACACAAAAGTGAGTGCTTTCCCAACAGAATACACAGTTACCTGTTTTGCAAAGACAATCCAGACTTACTTTTTATACTTCGAAGCCTGACAGTGTATAGTGCTTTCATTCACACACAGTGAGCATTGACTTTTATCATATTATTAGCATTCTAAACTCACAGTTTCAAAGGTTTATAACTCACCAGTAGGTTTAGACTCAGTAAATTCAGCCCAGGAGCACTATTTTTCAGTGCAAAAGACATCTACCGTTACTACAGTATCAAGCAAAGGGGACCTTGCTTATTTCAGGCTTTTTTAAAGGTCTTAGATTACAAATATAAAAAAAAACCCCTCTTGAAAAAGTGAATTGCAGAGTTTCATTCTGATGTTCCTCAGATTGCTAGCTTCCTTTGACATAATTGGAAAAAAAATGAAAAGGCTGAGTGATAGGCATTTAAAATCAACTCCTGAGAACTCATAATGGACCATATTCCATATATTCCTGTGCAAATCTCACTGACATCGGTGAATGCGTTCTGTACACATCCTATTTTTAAAATCCTGCATGCATAATCCCCGTTAGCATTGTTACGGTATCTGCCGTGTGTGCGTGCAACTCTGAATGCAGATTCGTACTATCAGCCGTAATGGTTCTCTCCTGAGAGAAATTCAGAAAGCTGTTCATAAGCTGTTCTGGACTTTTAGGGAACTAATCCCATCTCACACATACATTCGCAGGTACTTTTTGTTAAAGAAAATCAAACACTTCAGAATACATATTTATATGACAGACACTGTTCCAGTCTGTGGGATAAATTATATGCATTTTATAGCATTCACTTACAGACATGTATGGGTTTTTACATATTATAGTAACAGCAAAATAATGTTGAGCTTATGATATAAGGTGACATGAACCCAGAAAATGTCCATGCCAAATACACTGTACTAGATGTCAGATGTTTTCCTTTCTTCCATAAAACTGTGTATGAAAGAGAAATTTTAATTTCAATTGCTTGGGAACGGTACATATCTATTACAGCCTGATCATTTTTTGAGTGTGAGATATTGTGTGTTTAATTAACATTACTTCTGTGTGTTTAGGTAATTACCATTAGAACACATGAGGACATATTGTACTTACTGCCTGTGCTGGAGCATAATGTGCTGGACTACAACAACTACACTTGTTAAGCTGATTTTAGCATTTCTTCACACAGCAGGAAGCACCCATGCTGTGGTTTCTTAATGTACTCTTTAACTACTGCACTGTAGAGTACTGTACAATAAAAATAATAATTAATTATGATCCTCATCTTACCAGTACTGCTGCTATCCCAGTGACCCTGGTTGCTGTTTCAGGGTTCCACTGTCCTGTACCCTGAAACACATATCTTTCCTTCAGGAGTTTTATTTCTTAGATGATATTGCTGAACAGAGCTGAATTTTTTGAGGACAAGTTTGTTGCATGGATTGTGATGGCTTCACATTTGTTCAGGTCTCCAAGGACCAGCACCAATAAATGTGAAAGAGACAACAGCAGAATGGCATACTTTCCCATTTCCACCAGGATGAAAAAAAATACTCTAAATTAAGTCTAACCTTAAATGTATAATCTGTCCTTGGGAGCAAAAAAAAAAAAAGGATATAGCATCTTCAAGCTCTTGGCATCCCTTACGAGAAAAAATTGGTTCTAAGGGTCTCTGATCTTGTGTTTTAGTAAAATAGAACTGCACGGCTGACTGACAGTTCTGATCTAAAGCATTTACGTTTAAGTTTTGATCTCTCTGCTTTTGATTAAAACTAATGAGCTCATTTAATTCAAAATGGGAATCTCTGATAAGAGAAATAAGGTTGATGTGATTGGATTAGAGGGGCAAATTAAACTCTTAGAGCAGAAGTTTGTGCTTATATAGTGTATTAAAAAGCTGTTGGCGTATTATGGCGTGTTAGATGATGAGAAAAATTTCATAGTAATTCATATTTAATCAGAAGAAATGAAAGTACTAAATATAACATGGCTCTGCTTTTCCCTCGAGTGATAAAGAGCTGTACATTTAAAATGACATCGAATTCATGCTCTCTAAAACAAAAAAATCTTAAGAGAGGCGCTAAAGAAACGGGCACTGTTGTCAGTTATTTCATCGCAATAGAGTTGAAATGTCACAAACACAAGACAACATGACCACATTAAATCAAGGACAATTTGATATAATCCTTAGCTCAAAAACAAGTTTTTGTGTTTCTGTTGGCTGCCTAACAAATGCCTTTTAAATACTTGAATACTTTCTACTAGTAGTTTTGTCGGTTCTCCAAAACAATAGCAGAATAATTTAAAAAATAACTTTTTTATTCAGTGTTAATTACTTATTGAAACTGAAAGTTAGTTAATCTCCAATAATGCTTGCTTATTGTAAGCTACTCCAGAATTTTCCCATGAAAAGTATTTTGGGGAGAGGTTGGTTATCAGGGTAAAAATAGCAGTAATAAAGATTGTATAAAGAATATCTCAGTGCTGCCTAGGGCTGTTCCCACTATTTCATCATGGTTTATACTAAGAGTATTTATTTGCTGTTTTAAGTAGTTGCAGTTGATGGAGTGAAAAGCACAGGTGAGAGCTATAGTTTCAAGCAGGAAATATCTCTTCAGTTGGACTACAAAGACATTTCATTAGTGACCAATTCATCACCAATAATTAACAATTATGGTGATGATGATGACCATAATAATAATATGTGTCATTTGCTTGAACATTTTTGCCTTCAGGCTGCTCGGTGCTTTACTGATAATAATTAACCCTCAGTAATGGGGAAACCAAGGCACTCAAAAACAGCAGTGATTCACCCTAGGTGTCACTGCAAGCGAGGAGTGGAGACTAGGGAATAAAAGCCTGCAGGATTTGCAGCCTCTTTCAGCAGACAGAATTGCTTCCTCAACGAGACTTTGCCTTTCACAGAATACTGAAGAACTCCACAGTTTTTAAAACAATGCCATATGCTTACAAAATAATTCCAGTTGTAACAAAATTGTGCAAGAAAGAGTTAATGAGACAAACCTCTGTTAAAAATTCTATGGGAAAAATAACTTGAAAATGAGACTTACTGAGTATACATATATTTTTCAAATTTTTTTGCTAAGTAAACGTTTTCTAAACGAGGTAAATTGATTACAACACTCTTAGCATCCATCAGTCATTTATTTTTAGTGAGTTCAAGGATTGCACCTGAAAAATAGCTTAGAGGGGATGTATAAAATCTAAATTAAGTGTATATGTATTTTTTCTATTCCCTAGTGGAATCTACAAGCCCCAGTTTACTAACCACTGACAACACTCTAGAGCGCTCTTTTTTCATCCGAATGAAATCTACACTGACCAAGCGAGGAGTGCACATCAAATCATCAGGATACAAGGTAAGGGTTGCACTGTAGCATGAAATATTGACATCTTTAAATTACGTTTGTTCATGTTCCAGGGATATGTTAATAGAGAAAGGAGCTATTGCACTTTTGCATATGTTTCATTGCTTTTGTTAAAGAATCATTAATACCATATTTCCAGCCTGAGGTTTGGCTTTGGTACTACACCTCCATTAAATTGATCGTTATTACAATAAACATTGATGATAACAGCATGATAGCCTTCAAAAGAGCAACACTTTTGGAGTAAAGGTATATTTTACCAAAGAAGGTGAGTGTAACATCACTTTTTCCATAGTGGAAAATTACTGGTCATTTTGTTAGACTGTTAGTCATCTCTGGGTTATGTTTTCCCAGAGAGGTAGGATTTCTTCATGCAGACAGGATGCTAGAGCTACTTAATTTCGCTGCTGTTCTGGCTGAAGGAAACAACAAGCCACAACGAGTACTTTTCCACCATTTTTCTTTCATTGTCTGTCTGAGGGGCATCCGCTGCTGGGGATCATATTTGCTGGATTTCAGACCCTTTTAAGATATGAAAGTCTCTTGTTCCTTATCAGCAGTAATCTCATTTTTCTTCAGTCATATATCGCTCATAGTGCCTGTAGCTATCAGTGGCTTTGCAGTATACTAAAACTAGAAGGAATAGCACATTTTTAACATTGTCAACTTGTGGAATGAAATATGTCATCCATTAAGTATTATACAAGATAAAAGAGTGGTGCGAGAAAGTAAGTGTGGGAATGCATGTGTGTGTATTTAAAGAAGTTGCTTGTCAATGTTCATTTAAAAACTTTCACAAGCATTTTTTTCAGTTTTGAGAGGAAGATTTAGAGGAGCTTTTAAGTAAAATTCCCCAACTCACTTTTCCCAAAAAATTCTGTGTGAATATAGCATCGAGGTAGTCTACCTGAGCAGTAAAAATCTGGTAGAAATGTCGTCTTTGCAAGCAAATGACTGGGAGTTCTTCTGTTGGATGGTTTCTGGGTCACGATGATTAAAGTCGTTGGTAATGGAAGTTTAGGTCCAAATCAGTGGTTTCTTAAGGCACCACAGGTTTTGATCTGTGTACTGCTTAATTGTCAACACCTGAAAGAATGCACTCAGTACTTGTTCATGCTGACCCGTTTAGAAGTCTCAGAAGGTATCAAGACCAGGAAGTGTACTGGCAGTCTCAGGAGGAGGAAGGCAAATGAATTAATTGAAGTTACACTAATTTTCATGATTAGGCATGGTCCATCCAGGCTAGGCCAAAGTTAGATCAGCAGAGAATTTGTTTTGCTAGATATTTTTGCTGCAATAGTAATGGAAAAGAACAGAGAACTTGTCTGTGGATTTTGTAGTCTGACCTTTTTTGCCAGATGTAGGTGAGAGAAAAAAGGAAGACATGTGACTTTGTAGTTCTCTCTTCTTGGTCTCCTGACAATTTAATATTAGTCCAGCACCAGAATAGGACATATCTAGAATGGGCTGGCTTCACAAAGTGGGTTTTTTTACTCGTTACAATACAGTTTTTGAAATTCACAGTAGAACCTTTACTCAAAAGAAAGACACAGTAATGTCGATCATATAAAAACAATTTCATTTCTCTTTTAGACCTGATGATGCCTCATGGAAACACTGAAGACCATAACTGAGATGTCACAGGTAGAGCAGAATGAATTTTGAAAGATCAGATATAAATTTCTAGCCAGCTTTTCCTAGATATAAAGTATGGGTAAACTGGAAAAGTATGATAGTCACCAAAACTCTCTGTAAATAAAACATTTGGGCTTTTCCAAATTTTTCCATGAGGCATCAGCAAGTCAGCATGACTAAAATTGCATATACAGTGTGCAAGTCCCAAGCAGGTGTAAATATAGAGGCATAGTTCCTCCTCTTTTTGATGTTTTCGAGGATTTTGTAACTGACAGTGTTTGGCTGAATTCAGCTGTGTCCAGCCATATGAATTGTACTTTGACAGTTTTTCAAAAGCACAGTTATTGGCACTCTATGTTCTATGGCAGGATAATCATCCAAACCCTCAGTGAGCCCCAGAAAAATTGTGTATTCATTTTAGAAGAGTTGGATCACGTAAATGTCTTTTTAACCAAGTGTTAGGAACTGCTTTGTTTAAAAGCCATTCTCGGTGTACTAGACAAGCATAATAAAACTCAACTGCTACAGTGAATGTCATTCACACTTTTAGGAATGTTACCGATTTATTAATTGATTTCTAAAAGTCCAGTGCCAGAACAAACTTAAGGCTTCTTGAATTTGTTCAGGTATTTATTTTAGTAAAATTAAGAAAGATCCATGAGCCTTGTGGATGTACAACTATAAGAAACTATCAAAGGGAAGAATAGTTACATAATATTAACAAAGCTCATGGGAATAGCTGGCTAAGTTCTGCATCAGAAGTCCCTGGAAGACCTCCAGCACTTACTCAGGAAGCACTGTGCCAGCTGGGATCATGTGCAGCAGAGTTCCTGCGGGAAATCCTGGTGGAGCAAGCTGACTCAGGAGCCGCTGTCTCACACCTTCAGAATACAACAGAGCACTGAATTTTCCCTTTGCAAAAAGCCAGGGCTCCTGGCTAACAGCTTCCCTTGAGCTCTTGTGTCATAGTGGCTGGGTAACCCTCCTGAATCAACATACATTCATCAGGAGCAGTGTGCTGGGAGCTCCATACCTTATGTGAGTCAGGTTTTAGCTCTGTCAAAACTATTCAGCTCCCCATGGATTCAATCCTCCAGCAGTGATAAAATTTTTCATCTTTGTGAGGTGGTTGTGTCTTGTTCCAAGCTCTTACTGGGCTCAGAACCACATCTCGTATTTTCCTTGCTTTGCGGACTGCTGATGAATGGTTTCTTTAGATAGCAAGTGATTGAGGTGGTCCACAAGATGCTTAGCCAATTTTCAGAATGAGTGATCCCTGCCTCAGGAAAATCACATAAAATTGAAAACAGTCAGAGAGTGAGATTGATTAATCATTTGGGTTGATCTAGTCAGGACTAACTTTCTGTCAAAAGAAATGTTGGAACAAACCCCACACTGATAGACTTACACATATGTATACGTCAAAGAGACCCAGACCATTCTGACATGAGATGAACCGTGTTTATAGTCTCTTCCTAGACTGATTTAATTAGTCCTGAATTATACCTAAAGATGGAGGTAATTGCCTTTTTTCCATGAATAGTATTACCTTAAAAGTCTGAAATGGGAAGGTGGTTACATGATTAATCCTACCTCTCTCCTTCTCTTTCATTGTTTCCCAGCACCCTCCTTGAATCTGATTTTCCCTATTCATAATATTCTTAGACTCAGAGCATGTAGGAAAAGAGGTTACATACAATGCTAGGGAATATTCAGTTTTCAGTGAGTAAATCTACAATCTTAAAAAAAAAAAAGTAATAAAATCAGCTGATAAAAAACATTAAAAACAAATAAAAAGAAAAAAAAATCCATTCACTGTAAAACTCAGAATGTATTACCATTACAGCTGTTGTCTAAGATACATGAGGCAGAGACTTACTGTTTTTCTCTGCTGAAAATGTATCACATCTTCCTTTTTTCATTTTTTTATCATTAAAAGATAGTTTTGTATTTCATTTGGATTTTTGTCGTCTCCATTTTATCTCCTTTTCCATTTGTTTTCCTCCATTTGAGGGTCACAATTCTGTTCACTCAACAGTTATCCCACCTTCAGTGTTTCTGTTGTCCTACTTTCTCAGACATGTCAAAGCTAATTTTAATTGAAAACTGCTTTCCTCAAGTCTAGTGATAGATTTCCTACTACCCTGTAGTATCCTATTATTGTTTTGTCACATTTACTTTCATGTCAGACTGTGCTAGGATTTTCTTTGTTCAAACCTTTGGGGCCTGATACTGGTATCTTGAACAAAGCACAATTAATGGGGTGAAGAAGTAGTCAAAGCATTGAACATCATCAGAGCCAGTAGTTGCCAGTAGTTTCCAGTTCAGTAGTTCATCAGATGTGTTAGTATATATCCATACATATTCCTCTACTGTTTTATGGAGTAGCTCCCTCGTGATAAGCTATTACAGAGGCAGATAAGCAAACATGAGGAGATTCCCTTGTACTTTTACTGTCACTGTGGCAATCTCTGAATTTGGTATAACCAACATCTGTTGCCTCTCCATCTCCCAAGAAGCTGGCAATCAACCTTCTTGGTGATCCATCAGCAGAGTTAAGGGCATCTTAAAAATCCTTCAGGCTGTAGCTTCCTACTTGGAGTGGTACTTTCTATCTGCTGTGCTACCTAGATGCCTGCTTTGGCCCATTCAGTGTCAACAAGAAACAGTCTCCATGTCATTAAATCATCAAAGTTATTGAGGTCACAAGGCAATGAGTCTACTGCAGACTCTTCAGTGACTGGAAGTAAATATAGTAGCTATCACGTGCTGAGCAAAATCTTTCTTACAACCTTAGACTTCTGAGCCTGTATTATTGAGAAAAGAAATATTTGCTAGTTTACTCAGATACTTCTGCCTTGAAGTGAAGCCTTGGTGTCTTTGGAAAGTGCCTTGGGATAATGGAAAAGCACATACATAGTCTTTGAGATGAATTAAATTGACTTTGTTTCTCAGCTATTCGTATATGACTTTCAGGAGTTCTGAAGTCCTTTAATATGGCACAAAAGTGTTAGTACTGGATACAAGTGTAAGCCCTGCATTGCTGCTTTACAGAATCAGAGCTCTCATCAATGGCAAGAGCAGGTATTTATACCTGGTTTTCTCTCTGGTATTCTTCACGTGCAAGAGGATTGTGGAAAGTAAGCAAGCTTAAACAAACTGACCACATTGCAATGAAGGGAGCAAAGTTATCTTCATTATTTATTAAATCACAAAGGACTGTTAAACCTAACGGCATAATCTGAAGTACCAGTGGACATACTGCATAAAAATAAGTAAATTGCTATATAAAAAATTTGGTTTGGCAAGTTTAGTTTAGAAATTTTGATGTTTTGTTGCACATCTAATGTCTGCAT